GAAGGGGCACTAAAAGAATGCCAAGCTTTTATGAGAAAACACAGAAGAAAAAAGAAAAACAATTTATTTTTTTAGGTTTCCCCGTTACCTAGGCAACGAGGGTCCTCACCAGCCAGTTACGGCGTAGGAAGGATGCAGCCTCCCGTAAACCGGAGAAGGAGAAAGCAAGGCAAACAGAGGTTTCGCAGTTCAGGCAGGCAGCCCCACGCCCTCCCCTGCCAGCACCGCAGCCCACGCGCGGGCAGGGTGCTCGGAGCCGCGCGAGGACGGCTGTCCCGCAGCCCCGCTCGGACAGGCTCCCCCGTCCCTGCCTCCCCTTCCTTCCCCAGACGCTGCAGCTGGATGCGGCATCAGGCAACCAGAGCAGGTTCAGATGCCAAAGCCTGGAGGGTGAGTCAGTACTTTGACTTTTCACTGCTGGATCGTACAAAGAAACCACGTAAAAGGGGCAGATCTCAGGAAGAAAGCAGCAGAGAGGACGGGGGACAGGCCTGCAGGTCTAGGTGGAGGATTCTGTACTGGACATGAAAGACCAAGATGTTATAAAAAGATCTTAAAACAATACTGAGAAGAGGACAAATTACGCTTATTAATACTTCATATACTTGAGTATTCTTTGTATATTTAAATACTCCTCTAGGTGTTGACATGACTTTAATAAACTTGGACACAAAACATCCTGGTAGCAACATGAAGAACTGCCTTTGAGGAGCGCCAATGACGGAACCAATAACCAACCCACCCACCCAACCCACCCACCCACGCCTTAATCCTCTCCAACTTTCTGTCATTCAGAATTAAGGTGCCATGGCTCATGATCTAAGGAGTGCTTTGAGGATCTCACCGACCGATTCATTACTTTGAGAATCTCCCAGTTAAGGGCTTACACTGTCCAGCAAGCTCTAGAGTCATTCAGTATCGATGCTGCAACACGGTTATGGAGTTAACTTTATAGGCTTGATTCAAGTCAGACAGAACAGCAGAGACAATGCTAGAACCACAGTGGATGGGATTATTTTAGTATTTCAAAAGTAATATCGACTTGGAGACTGGGGAAATTCTGGAAGGAGCTGCGAGGCAGAGCTTCGTGTTGGTTGTTATCCAGGTAGGAGACAGCTTGAGAGCTTCGGGCGGAAAAATAAGCAGATGTGATCATCAAGCATGCAGAATAGGAACATTTGGAAATTAATTGCCCTGCAGGCCATAAAACTTTGTTTTACTGAGATTATTAGGATGGAGGTATTTCTCTGGATCGGTAAGGGAAAACACTGAAAAAGGCCTGGTTGAGATACTGGTTCCACCCCTAAGCAGTTCAGAGTTTGGACTGACTTGTCCTTCTGCACATGAAAGGACTAGCAATTTAAGAGACCTAAACGACACAAAGGTAAACTTTTGCAGAAGTTATTGAAATCAGGCATATATGACCACACTCACCCAAAACCATAAAACGTTTTCATGCATTTTAACAGCATTTTGGCATTTCTTTAAAGCTGCGTACCATTCTCTTCAGAAAAAGCAGCAAATTTCTTGTTTTCTGTTCATGATGTGCCTTCTATTTCTTTAAGATTCTGAGCAGTTTTGAGGAAGATTGCTCAGAAATGCCCAGAACT